CAAAATATATCACAGGTCGTAACAAAAAAAAAGTATTTATTTTCTTCCAACAGATTTGCACGTTCAAATAACTCCTGTCAGGAGCTTTGTCATTCTGACCTGTAACACCAGCTGCCCTGCGGCTGATGCTCACACTGCATATAAGTGGTACTGGAACAGAAAGTTATACAATGACTGCGAGCGTCAAGACATTACCATTTTCAGACCCAAAGCAGACTTCTTCTCCTGCGCTGTAAAAAGCAATGAAGATGTGGTCTCTCATGAATCCTGTGAGTACGTGTATGAGCCAAACATATGTATGAAACAAACAACAGGCAGGTTGAAGTAGAAGTAAAATTTCATGTGTTTAAACTCTGTTTTAGGCGTCAACAATGTATACTGCCAGGCTGTAAATTACGTCAGCAGGAGAATCTGTGCCCTGGAAGGTTCCTCTGTGAACATTGCGAGTCAATACTCGAGCCATTCCATCTTGAAGTTGTGGTATAAAGTACAGCTTGGTGGTGAGGAGGATGACTGTAAGGAGGTATTTGAAGAAGCTACGGGCCGTGTGAAGTATCACGACAACATGGAAAACAACCACACACTGACAATTAATGATGTGAAGAGGAATGACTCGGCTGAATACTCATTCACTCTTGAGAATCACTGTCATTTACCTAGAGTGATGTTAGTTGTCACAGGTAAGTTTAATTGATTTAATACAGAATCACCTGCAGTGTTTAGTGAAGTTCATGTTTTTATATCATATTGATGGTCCACAAAAATGTGTTTCATACAGGATTTGATTAAAAAAAAACATAACAGCAAATTATCTGATATCATTATCATTATTCTTTCAGATATGAAGCTAAAATTTGAAAGCAATCATTTTGGATGTTCAGAATTTGTACCATAAAATTTTTATGCGAATTGGAGACAGTCAAGCAGAAGGCCCGTGTTCATTTGAGATACAACCACCCTTACAGTTAGGTCCATATAGATTAGGACACTGACACAAGTTTTTTTTTGTTGTTGTTGTTTTTTTTTACCCGTTTACTGAAACATATTCCAATTATAGTTACATCATGGACATGGGCGTAATGTGTAGACTCTCAGCTTTCATTTGAGGGTTTCTACAATCAAACTGGATGAAAGGTTTAGGAGTTTCTGTCATGGCTATTGGA